TTTTAGATTTTATTGGGGGAATTGGGGAAGGGGGACAATGTTGGGGAATTGGGGAAGGGGAACAGCCAAGTTGTTGTCCTTCAATCTTGGTTGTGGAGGGCGCAGCTAGTTCAGCTCCAAGTCCAGTCGCCATCCAGATCCCAGTCTGCAGCTCGCGGCCTCTCAGCTCAAGGCACCATGTTCAATCTTAGTTGCGGATGGGAGTAGCCCACCATCCTATGCGGGAGTCCAACTGGCAACCTTGTTGTTAAGAGCATGTACTCTCACCAGCTAAGCCATCCTGCCACCTGTTGGCAGCTCAGCGGCAGCTCAGCTCAGGTGCAGCTCACTGGCCCATGTGGGAATGGAACCAGCGACCCTGTTGCTCAGAGCTCATGCTCTTAACCAACTGAGCCACTTGGCTGGCCCCTTGCCTGCTTTCTTGAAGCCCCCCTGTGTGCTGAGCCTTGGGCCCCATAGTCATGGGGGTGGACAGACATGCACAGAGATAATTAAATCCTAGCTAAGCAGACCAGCTGAGCCATCTCTGGCAATGGTAATGTGACAGCAGAAGTGGAGAGGTCACCTGACTAGCTACAGAATTACAATTTGGTGAGTGTTGTGTCTGAGATACAGCGGGCTGTGAAAGCATCTACAAGGGCCAGGGAAGAGTCAGGGCCCTGGGAGAATGGAGAAGTAAGAAGAGACGTTTGAGTTGGGCCTTGAGTCATGAATAGGAGTTTTCCAGATGCAGAAGTGGGCGAGGCAGGAACATCCTACAAGAGAACATTATGCACAGAGACTCAGTCTTCCTAAAGAATGGGTGGCGGACATAAGAAGCCTTCAGGACTCAGGACCATGAGTCATGAGTGTCAGTGACTGCACGGTGGCAGCCTTGGGGCAGTGAGGTGGGCAGGCTGTTTGCCCCTGGGTTGAATGGCCCAGGCAGCTGAGCAATATGATTCTGGGTCTGCTTTCCACGGGTTTTCTGCCACCTGCCCCCACTGGCCACTCGGAGGCTAGCTTCTGACTGTCTTCCTTGTCAGCAGCAATCACTGTACCCTCTTGTCATTTCCAGCTTCTGGACTGTTTAGGTCTGAGCAGCAGGTTTGCACTGTAAGTAAAAGTACATAGGCCACGAGCAAGGGCCTACCAGATCTAGAGTTTTGATGTGTGGATGCTAAACTTCCTGCCGAGCTCCCTGGAGATGCTCCTTTACTCCCTCTTCAGTTCTAGGCTGGGCTTCGATGAGGGGAGGGCACTCAGACTGGTTTCTAGAAGTCTGATCTGCTCCCCACTGTGTCTCTGAGCCAAGGATGGTGCCTGGCACACAGTCAGTGCCCAGTAAACGGCTGTTGAACGAGACGTTGCTGACTAATCTAGAAAGAGCACTGGTCTGGACGTCATGCGGCCTGGGTCTGAGCCCGGGCTTGGCCACTTCTTGACGTGTGACCTTTAAGCATCAGTTTCTCATCTACACAGTAGGAGTCACAGTGACCCTACCTCATGAAGATTAAATGAGGCGTGTGTGCACACAGACCCTCCCTGGTCCTCCCACAGCCGCTGGCTGTCCTTCCAGGAGGCTCTGGGGGACCCGTGGTGGGAGAGGTGGCACTGCACACAGGCTGGACCTGGCCGTCTGGCCCGCTTGTCAGCAGAGCGGAGCATGTGAAATGTGGTGTCCCCATCTGGGCCTGGGACAGTGACTGACAGAACCTCTAAGTACACATCACCAAGTGGCCGTCGGCTCCACAGTAGCAGTGTGTGTGTGTGGGGGTGGCCAGGAACACAGACTGTGGTGTGACCAAAAGCCACAATCATGTAACGGGAGGGAGTGGCCCCTGGCCTGGAGCCTGAGAACATAGCCAAGAGGGGGCAGCCTGCCACTGCTGCCCCTGGAGGCCTCCTGTTGGAACCTGGCCGGGCCCTGCCGGTGAGGGGGGAACGTGCAGCTGTCAGCACCTCCCCTCCTGCGGGAAGAGCAACGCTGAGGCCTCTGGGGGCCCATAGCTGAGTCAGAGCTGGCCTTGGCCTGGTGAGCTCATGATGGGGCGAGTGTGTGTGTCAGACACAGACATAAATATTACATCTATTCTTGTCAGGGGCTCTGACCAAGGGAGGTCCTTAGAGAGCCTGGGGAGCTGGGGACTCTGCTCTGGGCAGGTGGGGTGCAAGGAAGATGGTGTCGGGGGCACTTAACTAGGCTTTGGGGGTGGGCAGGTAGCAGCCAGCCAGTGGAGCTGGGAAATACTCCGCTTCTCCCTCCTGCCTGCCAGCCCCAGCCCGTCCACTCTGGCATGTGACCTTGGTCAGTGGCTTCCTTCTCAGAGTCGCTGCTTCCCCATCTGTACAATGGGGACAGGGACATACCTCCTGCCTGCTGTTGCCTCAAGGAGGAAATTTGGATTCACTAGAGCACCCGGCCCGGTCCTGGCCCACAGTCTGCCTGAATACCGAGGAGCTGTTGCTATTCCCCAGTGGCCATGGTTATTATTTAAGGCTGAATAGAATTCTGCCTACAAGGGAAGGGTGTGCCTGCAAAGGGAACAGCGCATACTAAGGCTCAGAGGTGAAAATGTCAGCAAATGGAAGGTGGGCAGGAAGCAGGAACAGTGGGGATGGGAGCTGATGGCAGAGCTCCGGGGACGCTGTGGGCAGAGTGGATCAGGGATCAGTGAGTGTCGGGGTATGTTTTGGCTCTCAGGCTCGGGGGAGGTGGGAGGTGGGGTGGGCTCTCAGCTCTCAGCTCTCAGAGGGCGGGTGCTGGAGACTTGAAGCGGGGAGAGGCCTGGTCAGGTTTGTTGCCTCCACGTGGGTTCCCAAAAGCAGAACCTGGGGCAAAGCTCATGGGCTATTTCTTTATTAGGGTGGGTGGACCCGGAAGCAGGAGTGATGTGGAGGAGGGAGAGCCCAGTTGAGGATGTTGTTCCCAGCTGGCTGCTGCTAAGTGTGACTGATGCTTGAACCTGCGGGCTCACGTTGCCAGGAAACCATATAAACTGTGAATCAGGACCATTGGTGGGCAATTCAGCTGTCAGCTCCCTCGTCCCAGGGGTCAAAGGCTCGTCCCTGGGGCATTACCTCCCCACATTCCAAATCATGCCCACCTGGGCACTGAATGGGGTCCAGAGCATCTCATCAATGGGGAAGCCCTTGGTGGGGGGCAAGGGGTGAGCCACAGCTGTTGGGTTTAACCCTGTGAAGTTAGCGCCCAGCAGAGCTAGAATGGGAGCCACTGAGGCTGAGACGATCTGAAGAGGTGCCCCAGGGGGGTCCAATTTCTTCATCTCATGGAAAAACTGCTCTGGTAGCTGACAGAAGAGGCGACAGCCCCAGGGCTGTGCCTGGGGATGGGTCCAAGGCGCAGGGGCATGTGCGGGCATGGGCCTTATCAACTCACACACGTACACATACAGGTGCCAGCCTCCGTGGTGCTGGGGGAGTGGGCTCGGCATGAGACCAAGCCCAGACTCCTCCAAGCTGACTGAATGGCACTGAATGACACTTGGGGGGGGGCCTGCCTCAGTCTCCCCATCTGTAGCACTCTCCCCCTCATGGGCTCTTGTGAGGATTAAGTGAATAATGGGGGTAGGAGCACTTATTCACCATTAAGGGTTGGTCAGGCAAGTCAGCATTCAGCAATTTCCCTAAGTACTTACCAGGAGCCCACTGCGTATGTACTGGGCATTGCCCCAGGCTCTGGGACGGGGCAGTGACCAAGACAGGCTACACTCCTGCCCTCATGGAATTTGTGTTCTGAGGAAGATAGACAATAAACATGTAAATGCATTATTTTGGTTATAATATCAAGACATGTTAAGGGGTTGCTTTTTTCTTTTTTAAGCTGAGTCGGAGGCCAGGCGGAAACAGGGGTGGTGGAGGGTGGTCAGGGAAGACCTCTCTGAGAAAATGGCCCTGAGTTGGGAGCTAAACAAAGCAAAGGAGGCATCATATTAAAAGAGAAAGTATATAAAATTACCTCAGGCCCCCCTGGCACACAGTAGGTGCTCAAGAGGAGCTGCTGATGTCATCGTTATTATTGATAGTCATAGTTGTGGTCTAACAAAAGTTAGGCAAGAGAGAAAGGATGAAGGCAAGGAGACCTGAGGCCTGTTGTCGTTGCTGCTGTAGTTGCGACTAATCCTGCTAAAAGACGGGTGGACTGGTTCCCATTTCACAGATCAGCAGCCTGAGGCTCTAGGACAGTGGTTCTCAACCTTCCACAGGGGTTGCCTAAGACCGTTGGAAAACACATATTTTCGATGGTCTTAGGAACCAAGACACTGCTCCTCCATCCGTCTCCAGGCCCACATGCAGATACACCCACATACGAGTACCCGGCGACCCCTGGGAAAGGGTCATTAGACCCCCAAAGGGGTCACGACCCACAGGTGGAGAACCGCTGCTAGGAGGTAGGGTGACCTGCCCAAGGTCACACAGCTGGTACGTGCCACTGCAAAGCATCCCTGAGCCGTCCCTCTCTTCCCAGGAATGCTCGCCCTATGCGGCCCATCTGTACGATGCCGAGGACCCGTCCACGCCCCTGCGGACGGTGCCCGGGCTCTGCGAGGACTACTGCCTGGACATGTGGCAGACCTGCCGGGGCCTGTTCCGCCACCTCTCGCCGGACCGTGAGCTCTGGGCGCTGGAGGGCAACCGTGCCAAGTTCTGCCGCTACCTGACCCTGGATGACACAGACTACTGCTTCCCATACCTGCTGGTCAACCAGAACCTCAATTCAAACCTGGGCCGCGTGGTGGCCGACGCCAAGGGCTGCCTGCAGCTCTGCCTGGAGGAGGTGGCCAACGGGCTGCGCAACCCCGTGGCCATGGTCCACGCCCAGGACGGCACCCACCGCTTTTTTGTGGCTGAGCAGGTGGGGCTGGTGTGGGCCTACCTGCCCGACCGCTCGCGGCTGGAGAAGCCCTTCCTGAACATCAGTCAGGCCGTGCTCACCTCGCCCTGGGAGGGTGATGAGCGAGGCTTCCTGGGCATTGCGTTCCACCCCCGTTTCCGGCACAACAGCAAGCTCTACGTCTACTACTCCGTGGGGGTCGACTTCGACGAGTGGATCCGCATCAGCGAGTTCAGGGTTTCGGAGGATGACGCCAACACCGTGGACCACGACTCTGAGAGGTGGCCTCCCTGGGGAGCCGGGCCAGGGCCGGGGGGCAGGGCTGAAATTCGGCCAGTATGACCCAGCCAATTCATGCTGTGTGCCGCTCAGGTTGATTAACGTTTTGAATATCACCCCGGGGAGGGGGCTGAACCCCATGTTCTGGGGTCAGGGGAGGGACAGCTGCCAAGCAGATATCACAGGATCAAGTCCTGAGTCCTGGTCAGGCGCTTTAGGTGGTTCCTTTTATTTGGTTCTCATAAAGTTCAGTTAGGTTAGTATTACTTCCCCCATTTTATAGACGAGGGAGTGGAAGCTTAGAGAGGTGAAGTGACCTGGCAGGTCACACAGCCAGAGCTGGAACCCTGGTCTGTCAGGAAAATGAACCCTGAGCTGGAACCCTGGTCTGTCAGGAAAATGAACCCTGTACCAGGTGATTCGTAGGCAGAATTTGCTATGGGAATTAGTTACTGGGGTGTTGGACATGATGGCAGAGCAACCTGGGGAAGAAGTGAGGCAACTCTGAGTTTAACAGCTGAAGGAAGCTGCCTCCACCACTTGGGCTGGAGGACAAAGTGAGAAGGTGGGGTGACTAGAGCCCCAGAGCTGGGGCCACTCAGTGGAAGCTGCAGCCACGGTGGGCGTTGGCAGGGGGCCTTGGATCCAGGGAGAAGGTGCTGCTATTGCCAAGATGCTGCCTGAAGCAGAGAGAGAGAGAGAGAGATGGGGAGAAACACCCTGACTTCTCCCCTTCTCCCGCCGTCCAGTCTCCTGCCAATGCCGTCATTGGCTGAATCTAGCCAGCAAAGAAGTCGTTTTTAGGAACTGGCGCCTGAAGTAGAGAACGGGGAGGGGAGAGCCAGGACTGACTAGATCTGAGGGCCAACAGGCAAAGAACAAGACATCACGTACTTGATAAAACTAAAATCTTGACATTGAAAGTATACAAAGGAGAAGGAATCGAACATGCTGGTTAAGCTAATGTGGATCTTATCATGTAGCAGTGATTTTGCCTATGGGCTTCCTGGCAGCCAGAGTAAAAGGAGAAAACGTAATTCTTATGATCTTATTCGAGGCTGTGCAGCCAGTTCTCCAAGAGAGACTAAGTGGATCACATGGCTCTCACAGAGGGGAGACAGAGGGACAGAACGGACGTGTCTTCAACAGTGATGTTTAAAAATGGATTCCTGATAAAGACTGAAGGGGCAACACAACATTTACAAATGAACACAGTTTAGAGTCAGCGTTCATCGAGGGTCCTGTGGGGACTTCACAAGTACAAGCCTAGAACTTGACTCGTGTCGGGGGAGGAGTAGGCCTGACTAGCTCAGGGCAGGGACAGGAATGAGAGGTCATCCTTTCCTGAGTCAGCTGTCAGTCTCAGTTCCCAGGGCTGGGATACCAAAGGGAGTTGGACAAACCAACAGTCTAAGCTGTCCTCTCCATGGAGGACCTGGAGTTTGGGGCTCTGTATGGCTCACCAAGTCATGTGTGCCTCGCATGGAAAGGTTTTTGCTCTTGGCTCTGAAGACCCAAAGTCCTGGGTTCAAGCTCTTGACCTTTCTGTATCTTGGTTTTTCTTGTCTGTATTAATAAGGGATTAGTAAGTCAGTGACCAATGCTGGAAAATCTAAACCAGCCTAAGCACTTCAGTAAGAGGGGATTTAATACAGTGACTGGGCTACAAAGGTGTTGGGAAGGCTGGAGAAGGACAAGGGGAAGGTCAAGTTACCTAGAGATTAGCAACTGCACGAGGCTGCTACCACTCATGGGCTAGAGAACCAGAGGGACAAGGCCTGTGCTGCTGAGTTTCCTACTCCCGGTACCAAGATGTCCGGGCCGAAGCCCAGGTGTCTGCACTCACCAGCCACTGTTGCTATCTCTGCAACCACTGCTCCTGGAGGCAGAGCCAGAAGCCAGGGAAACAGGGCTCCTCCTTTCCTCTCGCCTTCTACTCTCCATTGGCAAACCCTAACCGGAAGCCAGCTGGCCGGCAGTAATGGAGGTTGCTGACAGGTGGGTGTGGAGGTGACACAGCACACCTCCTTCAAAGTTACAGTAGATAACAAATGGAGTGTGTAGAAAGTGCTCAGCTTACATGGCTGGTATGTGGGTAGGTAAGATGAAGAAACCAGTTGTGCCAGTGACTGGTGGTCAACCGTTTTGCATGATTAAAGCAGGACAGGTACTAGCAGTGGGGAGCAGTAGAAAAAGCTCTAGACCAGAACTAGCAGACCTGAGTTCTAGTCCCAGCTCTCCTACCTATGGACTGTGTGACCTTGGGCAAGTTCCTCAACCCCCTGAGCCTCCAATTCCTTGTTAACACATGGAGTAAATTATCCCTGCCCAGCCGAACAGATCTTTGTAAAGACCATTTGCTATAAACGATAAGAAACGTCTTTCCAAAACTGTGAAATGGCATCTGAGAGAGAGGAGGTTGTATTGCTGTGATCTTGTTTTGTGTTTTTGGCTGAGGTTGTTTTCGGCAGCTGGAGGCTGGCTTATCTTCTTTTAGGATAATCCTGGAGATTGAAGAACCAGCCTCGAACCACAACGGGGGGCAGCTGCTCTTTGGGGACGATGGGTACCTCTACATCTTTACCGGAGATGGCGGGATGGCCGGAGACCCCTTTGGAAAGTTTGGAAATGCCCAAAACAAGTATGTCCTGCTTTGGCTGGCTGGTGGGCTGGTTTACATACTCCTGGATTGCATACTCTCCTGGAGGGGTTACCTCCTCAGCCATGCAGTGGAGGGCAGCAAAAAGGGCCTTGGACCCCGGCTTAGCCTGCAGCTAGCCAGCTGGGGACTCAGTCAGGTCACTGCCTCTCCTCAGCTAAAGGAGAATAATAATAATCTCCATGGGGAGGCTTATCATGAGGACTAAAGACAATCATGTTTGTTGAGGGCCAGGCATAGCACCCACTTGTCATGACAAGTGACATCAGAGAGCCTCTGGGAAGATAGGATTTTCTCTGAAGTCAGCCCACTCCTGCTGGAACCAGAGGAAGCAAAGGGGTGCTTCTCAGACCAAGTGGGGCATGTGAGCTGGTTGGAGCAGGGTTGTATGGGTAAGTGGCTGTTCTGCCCCAGGGGTCACCCACGATGGCCCAGAAATTGAAGCTTAATCTTGCTCTCAGTTACTCACTTGTTGGCTTGAGCAGATGGCCTGCCATCATTCCACTCCTTTACACAGACAAACAGACAGACAGACACACACACACACACAGAGCCTTGTGATGTAGATGAGGCTATCTAGCAGTCTCAGGACAGCCTTTTCCACTCTCTTGGCCAACATGATAAAAACCCCCTTAGCCCAGAAAGTAAAAATAGCGAGTCAGATGCTGATTACAGTAATTAAAGTGTTCACCATTTGTGACTTGTGCTTTCATATGTGACAGTGTAAGAGTCAGTGCAGCTTTCTCATGTTTGGGATGTGTTTAGAGATAAAGTTGAGAAAATAGAAATTAAGGATTTGTGGATAATTGGACAGAACTTAAAACATTATTTTGCCGCTATGACTTTTGCCCACGTACATATGGAAGCTGGTGTGTGGTGTGGCTCCGGGCTGTAGTCTGCAGCTTGGTACTCGGTGGGCTGGAGCACGCGACAGGGTTCCATTGGGCAAAACCTAAACGTCCGCAGTAGGGGATCAACTGTGGGAACTCTAGTGGGTGCGAGCGTTTTATCACCATTAAAGAGGACACTTATGAGATGTCTCTAAGGAGGTAAACGCCTGGGTGCTGATGCTGTGTGCGAATGATGGGCACAATTGCATCAAATGTGCAAACCCGCCAGTCCTGCCTTGAAAAGCAGCCTGAAGGGAGTCACCAACATGCTGAGTGAGAGCGAGGGAAAACCCATGCATTACTTATGTAGGTGCATCAACAATCACAGACGAAACAGGGCTCCCCAGTGTGCTTCCCATCTTCAAGCACAATGCGGATTTCCCCCATCATGTGTCACTTTTGTCATGTGATGAATGAAACCCACAAGCTACTCACCCTCAGGAGCTCTGTGGAGGTTAGGGCTGCACACTTGCTCTGTGTGGCTCTGGAGGGCACGTCCTGAGGTCTCCTCGCTCCAGGGGCCGAAGAAGGTGACGTTGCCTTGCGCTGTGGAGTGGCACGGCTTCCCGTTCAGAGCTGTCTGGGGGATCTAGGAAGTGGTCCCCCTCTCAGAATCTGGGTTGCCTGATCTTTGAGGTAGGGATGGGAGTGTAGAGTGTGGGGTGAACAGAATCAGCACCGAGGCCTGTCCGCTCTCTGGCGTGCTGTAGTTCTGCCTGCAATGGCCTGGGGTGGGGGAGGTGTGAAAGAGAAGGCAAGAAGTCCGCCTCCCATCTCCTGAGAAGATCTGCAGTGTTCTGTCTCCCCATCCTAGCCCTGACCTGTACTCTGTATGGTGCACTTGACTTTGATTTCATTCATTCATTCATTCACTTAGCAAGCACTTATTGAACACCTATTATGTGCCAGGCACTGTGTTAGGAGCTGGAAGAAAACTGTACACACAAGTCATTTTTCTAGGAGCATTCATTTTCACCCTGTAGCACAACCCTGTAAGAGAGCAGGAAAGACAGGGACCATCATCATAGTACAGTGGAGGACACAGCCTGGCCTGAGGAGGTTAGATAAGTGTGTGATGAACTTTGGGTTTCTACCTCCAGGCACCTTGGACTGGAGCCTGGACATATTTACTAGCGGTGTGGCAACTGGGCACTTACGTGACCTTTCTGAGCTCAGTTGTCCGATCTGTAAAATGGGGATCCCGTTAGTAACCCCCTACCTAAAAGGTTTGTTGTGTGGCCTGAACGAGGCCATAGGCAGCGGTTCTCAACCTGTGGGTCGCGACCCCTTTGGAGGTCGAACGACCCTTTCACAGGGGTCGCCTCAGACCATTGGAAAACAAAAAGATATTTACATGACGATTCATAACAGTAGCAAAATTACAGTTATAGAGTAGCGACGAAAATAATTTTATGGTTGGGGGTCACCACAACATGAGGAACTGTATTAAGGGGTCGCGGCATTAGGAAGGTTGAGAACTGCCGCCATAGATGGTATCATGTCCAGTGCTTGGCACAGGGCCTGGCACATAGTAAGGCTGAATGAATGAAGGAGGTTACCCAGCTGGTAAGTAGCTGAGGAAGACTGAACCCCTGGTCTCCGAACCCACAGCCCAGGGCGTGCCTTGCCCCTGGCTCTGCCCCGGGCCCGGGCCCCTGTACCTGCCCCGCGGTGCTAGAGAGCCCGGGCGCAGGGCGACTCCGAGCCGGCGCCGTCTCCCACCGGCCCGCAGGTCGGCGCTGCTGGGCAAGGTGCTGCGCCTCGACGTGGACCGCAACGAGCGCGGCCCGCTCTACCGCATCCCGCCCGACAATCCCTTCGTGGACGACCCCGCCGCGCGGCCCGAGGTCTACGCCCTGGGGGTGCGCAACATGTGGCGATGCTCGTTCGACCGCGGCGACCCGGCGTCGGGCGCGGGCCGCGGGCGTCTCTTTTGCGGCGACGTGGGCCAGAACAAGTTCGAGGAGGTGGACCTGGTGGAGCGCGGTCGCAACTACGGCTGGCGCGCGCGCGAGGGCTTCGAGTGCTATGACCGCAAGCTGTGCGCCAACGCCTCCCTCGGTGACCGCCGCCCCCCCCGCTCTGCGCGCCCCCGGGACCCTTCTCGGATCTGAACCCCTTCACCCCACGGCTGTGTTCCAGCGCCTCCCTCGGTGGCTGCACGAGGCTCAACGAGACGGCCCCTGGGGACCCCCTGATCCCAGATCCATCCTCCACCCACGGGACATGCGCCAATGCCCCCCTCCCGGACCCCTCGAACCCCCACCCAGGACCTCCTCTCGCCTCGTCTCCCCTCCCCAATTCTCCTGGGAGGCTCCTCGCTTCCTCCCTCTCCCCTCCCACCCCAACGCATGCTGTCCTATGCACCTTGTAAGCTGTACGCACCTCCCTCCCTGGGTGATGTGGGCCCCATCTTGAGCCTTCCTGGTGATGTCATATACCTTTGCCCAATAAGACTCAGGACCACCCATGAAGTTCTGTTGTGGGGGAGGGGATTCCCCCCAAGACTCACCCCACTTTCTCCTCACCCCGCAGATGATGTGCTGCCAATATTTGCCTATCCACACAAACTGGGCAAGTCAGTCACGGGGGGCTATGTGTACCGCGGCTGCGAGTACCCCAATCTGAACGGCCTCTATATTTTCGGTGACTTCATGAGCGGGTAAGTGGCCTGACAGCAGTTCTAGAGGGCTGGGAGGGCAAAGGAGCACGGTCCCGGGAACATGAACAGCTTTCTAAACAGGCTTAGGGTCACCCCAGGGTAGACAGGACCAGTCACTGCACCAGCTGGACGGGGCCCCTGGGAGCATTGGTCCAGCAGAGGCCAGAGAGCCACCCTGCTGGGGAGGGGGGAGCTGGGGCCCCAAACCAGGTCTGACCATGGGGACCCCTGGAGCTTTGCCGCCTGATTCCCACGCTCTATGGCAGTGCCACCTCCACCTACGGAAATCCTAGAAGGTGTGGGTGGGGGTATCACACCCTAAACAGGTTCTGGAGGGGAAAAGAGCATACCCTGCAAACCTGCTGGGTCAGGCCTTCCTTCCCCGCGGGAGCTTATGGGGCCTCATGACCGCCTCACTCCCCCATTGTACAGGGGAGAAAACTAAGGGCCAGGGAGGCACAGGGAAGATATATACCTGGCATGATGCTTAAAAGTGCAGCCGAGAACACCTGGATTCCAATCCTGGCCCACTTATTAGCCATGTGACCCTGAGCCAGTTCCTCCACCTCTCTGGGCTTTAGTTTCCTCATCTGCAAAATGGAGATGATAATAGCACCTGCGTCCTACGGCTGTCTGAGGACCAAGTCAGTTAATACGCACACGGCACTTAGAGTCTAGTGTGCGCACAGTATTGGGTGCTCCTGATTATCACCATGCTAGACTCTCCACGTGAGGGCAGCTGTTCCTCAGGAGGGAAAATCAGGAAATAGGGGAGCTGGAGGCTGGCAGGGGCATTCTCACCTCTTGCAGGTTGCTGACCCGGGTGGGTGTGTGGCCAGCATATCTGCAGCTAGAGCTGAGACAGAGCCCTGACCTGGGCCTCTGGGTGTTGGATCTTTCTCTCAGCTCCGCCCCTCCGTTGGGGTCTGCCTCTGGGACTCAGCTATGCCATCCGGAAGATGGGTTCTAGATGAAGCCTCTGTTTTTACCCTGAATTCACTTATCCCCCTTGTGCCCTCCCCCAGGAGTACCCAAGTCACCTGACCGCAGAGATTCAATTAACTTTGCCAGCCCATCTGCTGGGTCAGGTGCCGGGGCCAGAGTTGAAGAGTACCTCGTACCGAGTCAGGGAGACAGGCAAACTCTCAGTCCTCTCTAGTCCAGCCCCAGACAGCCTGTGCACAGGCTGGAGAAGCCCAACATGGGGGCAGTCAGGAGGGCTTTCCAGAGGAGGGGACAGCTGAGCGGGAGCTAGAAGTATATCAGTGGGTAACTGACAGGTGGAGACCAAAGCAAGGGGCCAGATCAACATCCCCTGGAGATGCCCAGCCTCCATGTCGTGCTCTGACGTGGCGGCAGCTCTAAAGTGCACACATGCTCCTGGGCACCAGCCTTGAGGGTTCTGAAGCCCAAGCCAGCTCCTGACTGCCCCCTGCTGGTCAGTAGGTGGAGCTGAACTGAGGGGGCAGGAACCAAGCTGATCTTTTGGTCTTGTGTGCCCCGTCCCCATGCTTCTTGGTACATAGTAGGTGCTCAGTGAAGACTGCGTGCAGGGCCAGCGTCATGGCTGTGTGGCCTGTGCACTGGCACAGGGCCCCACCTCAGAAAGGCCCACACTTGGCTTAATGCTCTGCCGTCACTGTCCTGAAATTCTTAGTATTCTTTGAACAAGGGGCCCTGCCTGCTCATTTTGCACTGGACCCTGCAGTTGTGTATGGTCCTCATTGCGTGGGGAAAAGATGAGCGGATGGATGGATTGGAGGATGGGGTTCCCCTGGGCACCATGCCAGGTGATGAGCTATGACCCCATAGCTCATCCTCCTGTGCAGGCGTCTGATGTCCCTCCGAGAGAACCCAGGGACAGGCCAGTGGCAGTACAGCGAGATCTGCATGGGCCGTGGCCAGACCTGCGAGTTCCCTGGCCTCATCAACAACTACCATCCGCACATCATCTCCTTCGCAGAGGACGAAGCCGGTGAGCACTCCTGACGCCTCTCCATCTGGGCTGGTCCCCCCACCCCAGGGGTCCTTCTGGCCTGGGGCTCGAGGGATGAAGTCTCAGGCCTGAAATCAACTTTAGGCTGGAGAGTGACGTGCTCAGTGGGCTCGAGACCTTGCTGGGCTTCTGTCCTCACCAGTCTGAGCCTCCGTTTCCTCATCTGGAAGAAGGGAGCAGTGGCCTCCCTCCTCCCCCTTCCCTTCCCCCCACCCTGAAAGGCTGGCTGCATAGCGTGATGACCTGGGTAAGAGTCCAGGGTGGTTAGCAGGCCAGGAAAGGCAGCTCTGTAATGGCGGACCGGCAGCCACGTAGCGGGAGAGTGCTTCCTGAGACCTCCACCGCCCTGGGTTCCTGATGGCAAATGTAAATTGGGGCCTATACAGTGAAGCCACATTGTCTTCAGAGAGTGGGTAGACACCGTCTTCTTGCCTGTTGGTGGGTCTCCCATTCAGGCACTTGCATTTTCAATGCGAGGAACAGTGGGGGAAGGGAGAGGACGAGGGGCCACTGGGGCTGGATCCCCTCCAGCCTGTTGCCTTTGTCCTTGGCCGGGGATTGTCCCTGGACAAAAGCCTAGGGGTCCCCAAGGGGGCCTAGTGGATGCTTGGCCCAGTTGCCGGGCAACGCCCAGCCAGGGGCCTTTTGAGGCGTGTCCCCTGCAGGGCCCAGTGCCCAGAGCCCCCAGGCCTGAGTCTGGGAAACCTTTGTTGAACCAATACCCATCAGAATATAGATTTTCAAAAGGGCAGCCCCAGCCCCCACTGCCATCCCGAGCACACTGGGCCCTTGAGAGTCCTTTCTTTTGGTCAACAGAGGGTTAACGTGTTTTGGAAGGCCGGACGCTCTTCCTCCACCCTCCCCATTTGCATGCACGCCCCACACACAGAGGCAGGACCTGGAAGGGGCATTTCCCAGGGGCCCTTCCTCAGCCCTCTGAGTGACACTGAGTGATGGACAGCCAGGCGGAGGCCTCTCTGAGACAAACAGCTCAGGAGCAGCCCCTTGGCAAGCTTGGGCAGGCGGCCCCTGGAAGGCACAGAGCTCTGGGGTCCAATGCAAACAAACCTCTCCCAGCGTCAGGCTCCAGCCTCCGCCTCTCTAGTTGTTCTTCTGATACTTGCAAATTGTAAAACAAGGACCTCTGCTGGCCGGGTGTCCTCCAGGGACAGTCCACATTGCAGAGACCAAAAGGGCAGCCTGGCTCTGAGCAGGACTCGGCAGTGCCGATGGGGGACTCCCTGCCCATGCATGGAAGAAGGGGCTTGGAGTGTGTCCGGTCCATCCCTGTCACTTTACAGATGGGGAAACTGAAGTTGACTGTTCATGCCCAGACATGAGGAGGGGGGGCTCTGTACCCAGCCTGGCCCCTGGAGGCCTCCCAGAGCAGGGCTCTAAGCTTTGGTCAGCCAAAGGAAGACGATGGAGAAAAGCATTCCAGACTAAGAGAGCTGAGTGTGCAGGGAGCGCCAAGTGGCTCCAGGGGCTGGAGTGTAGGTGGGAGGGCTGCACAGCCAGCCGGGAGCCCAGAGCCTCTCTCCAGGAAGTGGCCCAGAGAGGAAAGCGAAGGCCCGAGGCTACACAGCAAATTCATGGCTGTGCCTTTGTACTCTCCAGTAGGAACCAGCTTGCCAGGTTGTATAATCACCATGTGGGCCTATTACAACCCCTCCCTCCCATCCCTTTCTCCCACCCCTCCAAGCAGAGCTTTCACCTCACTGTCTCCATCTCTTTTTGAGGAAATGACCCCCGCCCCCATTCTTGGGAGAGCTCTCCACTGTCCTCTTAACAAGGACAGAAGATATTCGCATGACTGAAGTATCACATTGAGTCACACATTGTGTCTGGGCCTCCCACCAGCCATGTGTCCTGAATCGGTGTGGGCTTGGGGGCAAAGATGTTCCTGAGTTCCAGGCCTGGCTTAACCACTCACCAGCTGTGTGACTTTGTATAAGTCACTTGCCCTCTCTGAGCCTCTGCTTTCTATCTATAAGATGGGAATAATGCAGCCTATTTCCTGGACATAAGTACCTCTGGCAGCAAGGGCCAGGAGGCAGAATGGGGTGAGCAGAGAATGGAGAATTCTGGTTCCTTAAGAGCACACACGGTGCCAGATGCTCACAGCTCACTCATTGCATTGTCACTGCAGTCCTGAGAGGTGGGGACACTGAGGCTCAGAGTGGGGCTGTCCCAGATCTGCTGGCACGCACTCAGGGCTGAGTGCAGGGGCTAGCATTGACACAAGAGACTCCCCGCGCTTGTATTCTGCCTGCTGGTCAGTGGAGAGAGACTCTGGCCTCAAGGTCTTGGCAGGACCCAGATCTCCTGGGTGACAGTGACAACAGCTGTAATAGCTAATACTGACTGAGCACTCACTGTGTGCTCTTTTAATCCTAATAACAGTCCTAGAAGGCATCTGTTTTGGGATGAGGAAGCTAAGGCTCAGAGGGCCACACGTGCCTGTGTCACCCAGTAAGCGAATGGTGGGGGAGCTGGGCTGTGGCCCCTCCTTGTGCCCAGAGGCGTGCTGGGCGTGAAACCCGGGCAGGGACCAGGGATGGGGCTGGGGCGCGAGGAGGTCCGAGCCTGGGTGGGGCCAGGCAGAGCGGGCGCAGCCAGGAGACGGCGCTGCAGAAGCCCCTGGGCATGTCTGGATGCCCTTCTCACGCTCCGTTCCCAGTTCTGGGCACCAGAGAGCTACCCTGATCCGGCATGTGTTTCCTCGTGGCTTGCCTCCTGGGGTGAGAGCCCATCTCAGAGCCTGGGGCTGGGGGCGTGGGGCTGGCTGGGACCATATCCAGGTAGCATTCTCACTCCTTGCCTTGTTTCTTGTCCAAGGGGAGCTGTACTTCATGTCAACAGGCATGCCAAGTGCCACAGTGGCCCGTGGGGTTGTCTACAAAATGATTGACCCCTCCAGGTGAGTCCCCGCCCACTGCATTGCCTGAGCGCCTACTGTCTGCCAGGAGCCCTCACCTCCATTGCCTCATTTCCCCTTTTTACCACTCCCTAAGGTGGGTATTATTCATATCCCCATTTTTCAGATGAGAAAACTGAGGCCTAGGATGGGGATGTGACTAGCCAAGTCCACACCGCTGGTGAGGGGCAGATCCAGGATTCAAAGCTGGGCCTGCCAGCCTCAAAGTTGAGCTCTATTCATGATAAGAGGGGGTCAAAGATACTGGTGGGGGCTAATAAGCACAGGCCCCATCATCACAGTAAAAAAAAATTTTTAGAATAGTTTTAGGTTTATAGACAAGTCGCAAAGATAATACAGAGTTTCCCATAAGCCCCTCACCCAGTGTCCTCTATTATTGAAGTCTTAGGTTATCATGGTATCTTTGTCACTATTTATGAACAGTATTGGAACATTACTGTTAATTAAACTCCACACTTTTTAAAAAAAATTGAGGTAACTGCACTTTTTCAAAAGGGTTTCTCTAGTTTTTCCCTAGTGTCCTTTTTCCGTTCCAGGATCCCATCCAGATTCCCACACTGCATTTAGTCATCATGTCTCCTGAGCTTCCTCTGGTCTGTGAGAGCTGCTCAGACATTCCTTGTTCACCACTTAAAAAAAAAAAAAAGCACAAACCTATTAATTATTGACATAACTACTTATCAAGAAAAATTTAAGCAGGTCCTCTTTTCCTCCCCCTTTTCGTTTTCCTGAGGTCTCACCCTTCTTTACCTGCGTAGCCCAGAATTTATGTCATCGTGGAGGAGCACGCGCAGACTGCATTTTTCTTCGTTCGTTTTTCCCTACTTCGTGTAAACATTACTACCTTGAAACATCACCCTCCAAAGGATCCTTCTTAACGGCTGCATAATTCTCTGTTGAGTCACTGTGCTGCAATTGCCTTACCATTCCTCGGGCATTTAGGTTATTTACAATTTTTTAAAAGAAGAGTGCTTCTTTAAGGAAATGTCACATTTATGGAGCACCTGATTCATGCCAGATACTGCCTTTGACCTGTCCTCTTAGTTTGGGCAGCATGCTATTGACTGATTATCCCCACGCAACAGAGGGAAGTTTCTTTCTGCTCAAGGTCTCGTGGGTGGGAGGGGCCAGGGAAAGGCTAGATTCCTTCCCTCTCTGATCCTTCTCATCTCTTTTATTTTTCTCTTTTGGAATAAATGTGTTTCTTTGCCTCACGACATATTGCATAGAGGCCCCACGACAGGACATTTGGAAAATGGAGAAGCCAGGAGTGGAGGGGGTGGGGTCATCCGTGACCACCCAAATATAACTGCTGTGGCATTTTTTGGTGTATCTGCTACCCTTTTGCATAATGAAGATTTTCTGCATAATTTCCTTGAGGAACAAAACCCTGCTGGGTCTGTGCGAAGCATGTGGATAGTATCTGGAGTTCAGAGCAACCAGAAAACCCACCCTTTCTCTGGCTTTGAGAAGTGTGTTGCCTGGTTGCATTTCTTCAGCCTCTGGGGGAAAATGCCCAAGTCCCTTCTGTCTGGAAGCCACCTCATGTCTCGTGGCTGCTTTACCCCTGGGGTTTCCCCCTTGAGCTGGTGGAATCTATTGAAGTCTTGCACCCACGTGGGTCGGTCCCAGAATAGGGTTGGTCGCATTTAAGACTCACATATCGACAGCCAAAATCTAATTAAAATGGGATTCCATTCCTTACTGGTGCCCCTCAAAGATGCCAGAGGAGCCCAATTCATAGCCCTGGCAACGCTTCTCTGATTCTTTTCTCTCCCACCCTCCAAGGCCCCGAGATCTCTGGCTCTACTGCCAGCCTGGGGTCCTATCTCTCTCTCTCTCTCTCTCTCTCTCCCCCCCCCCTTTATTCTTTAAATGGACTTAATCTTTCCCTGATTCCTCCAGGCAGAGGGACCTCTGGTTCTGCATCGGCAGAAATCCAGGAACCGGAGGGGCAGAGAGAGACCCTCCTCTAAGGCTGCGGGGGCTGGGGGCCAGGGTAGCGTGCAGGATTCGGGCTGCAGTTAGTTACAGGAGTTGGACTGGCAGGTTACAGGAGGAGAACGGTGACATTTGATCATGTTCTGAAGACAGATCATGCTCTGAGTTAGAAGTGGCTCAGGTGAGCCACCGGCCCTCATGCAGAAGCTGAGTGGGCTCTTGGCAGGCCATTCTAAGCGATTCCTATCCTAGGGATGCCTATCTTATAGAGCCTTGGGCATGGAGCACACAGGGATGCTGCCCGCCACACAGTAGGTGCTTCATAAATGGCCACCACTATTATTGTCCACACCCTCCCAGGCCTGAAGGCACACTGCCCCTCCCTCCCTGCCTGGCTACAGGGGGAATGCGATGTCAGAGGGACATGCTCAGGGCAGGCTCCGAGGGCAGGACTCATGACCTCCTGTGTGTTGGCAGACGGGCACCCCCCGGCAAGTGTCAGATCCAGCCTGCCCAGGTGAAGGTGAGGAGCCGCCTCATCCACTTTGTGCCCAAAGAAAGTAAGTGCCCGCCAACGAGGACACAGTTGGGGAGGGGAGCTCCCGCAGCCCACACCCAGCTGCCCCTCCACCAGATGTGGGTCCTCACAGCTGGACCTGGGTGCCCTTCCTCGGTCCCTGTGCCCAGCACCATGCTGGGCACACATTAGACACTCAAAGTGGGTGGAACTCCTTAAACCCCCATCCACTTGTATGTGCCAGTCCCAGGCCATGGGTGGGTGGCCCTAAGGGGATACAGGTCTCAGAGGGACAAAAGGAGAAATACCTGGTGCCAGGAAAGGTACACTCAGAACTCTTGAGAGGGACAGAGAAAGAGGGTATATCTCTGTGTGAGCAAGGAATATTGGAAAGTTCTTCTAGGTGCGAGGGCCCGTAGGGGAGGGGGGATTTGGGCTGGGGCTGCCATAAGATGGCTCCATTTGGACAAGGTTGGTGGGATGGGAGGGGATGCCAATCCCCAGGACCTGGAGGCCAGGCGAAGGCACCAGCGACTGCCCCTGGGATCAGGGCTAACTGAACAGAATTCGTCCCAAGGAGTGGGGCTGCTCTGCTGGGCCCAAGCTAGGTGGGAACAGAGACCCACTGTGGCCAGGCCTTCCAGTTCTTAAGAGAAGCAGGATTAATGAACGCATTAATTCATTTAGCACGTACGCGTGCTTCATTCTGGGGATATAATGCTGAGCTAGGTGGATGTGGTCCTTGCCTTCTAGTTGTCACATACAAATCTCCCGACTTGAAAATCTTGGCAGCTAGCTCAAAATTTAAAAAACCACCTTGTGAGCCAAAGGAAATAGTTTAGTGGCCAAGTGTGCCAACAGGTCACCAGTTGGCGGACCGTGTGTAGGGATTCCAGAAAGAAGGAGGCTGGGCACATGGGTGGGTGGGGGTGCCTGGGCCTGAGAAAGGGATGCCCTGGGGAGAGGAAAGTTGAGGGGGGAGATGGGCTCGCTGTTTGGGGGAAGTCAATTCTAGCCTCAGCTGGCCTCAGGCCTTGGCCAGTTTTCCACTCACTCATTCAGCAGTTCCTGGTACTTTTGTTAGTGACCCGTTCAGGGGAGGGTGCTGGAGCCACAGGAGAAGTCGGACCAGGCCATATCCTGGCTGGGTGGGATACACAGAGAAGTCATTCAGTGTCCCAGGCCCAGTGACAGAACTGTGTGCTGGGTACCATGGGGACCCAGAGTAGTGCAGGATGGGGTGGCTGGTGGTGGTCCTAGAGCAGCGGCTGAGGATTAGGCCTGGAAGGAAGAGGACAGGTGTGCCATGAGTCTAGGCACAGGGGGCAGCAAGGGGCAAAGTGGGAGAAGCGAGGCAACTCGAAAGCCTGGAGGGGAGGCTTCACCCTGACAGACGGGCCCTGGGTCCCATTCTGCCCGTCTGCCGTGGCTCCTCTGCCGTTTTCCCCCATCAGTGGGCCTCAGCCTGCCCACCCTTAAACCAAAGATCAGAACCAGAAAGTGTCACTTGGCTCTGAGAAGCCCTCCCACACACACCTTCCCTTCCACTGAGCCCGGAGTTTACAGTGTGAGGGTCTGGCAGCCGTCCCCTCCCTCACCCTCCCAAGAGGAGGGCAGGCTGGTGGGGGGCAGGGGGTATGTAGAGGGGGTGACCCAGTAGCAGGCTGCCATAAAGCAGCTGCAGCGAGTGTTTGCAGAATGACTGAAGAAGCACTTTGCACCCAACTCCAGGCTCACATCCTGTGGGGCCAGAGTAACCCGGGAAGCCACCATTGGCGCCCCAAGAGGCAGCCATCCTCAGGGTCTGAGTGAAGGGCAGAGTGAGGACATCTTTCCCCAGGGTCTGCATTCTGGGGTGGAGAGCTGGGGTGGGTTAGGGTGGCCAAGGCCCTCTGATCGCAGGCTTTCCTCTGTGCAGAGTTCATCCGGAGAGCCAAGAGCACCCCGCGGCCCACAGCACGTGCGACCACTAAGGCGCCCCGTCGCAGTCGCCCCACGGCCACTGCACCGCCTGCGCCCACCCGGCAGCCGGCACGGCCCACCCGGCAGCCGGCACGGCCCACCCGGCGGCCTGGAAGCCGGAAGGGCGGTGGGCGACGGCGGGGGCGACCAGGCACCGCAGACCCTGCGCCCTCAAATGGCGCCGTACGCCTGGTGCGGCCCGCGGGCCTGAGTCCAGGCCGTGGGCGCGTGGAGGTGTTCGCGGGTGGCCGCTGGGGCACTGTGTGTGACGACCGCTGGGACATCAAGGCCGCGGCCGTGGTGTGCCGCCAGTTGGGCTTTGCGTACGCCGTGCGAGCCGCCAAGCGCGCCGAGTTCGGGGAGGGCCGCGCACTGCCCATCTTGCTGGATGACGTGCGCTGCGCGGGCAGTGAGAAAACCCTGCTGGAGTGCACACATGCCGGCCTGGGCACGCACAACTGCGGCCACCAGGAGGACGCGGGCGTCGTGTGCAGCCACGAGGACCCCGATCTGTAGGCGAGTGTAGTCTGTCCCGCCTGACTGTCCTCCGTTGGACCGGAGCCTGGCAGGGCCCTCTGCCCTGTGTGCGCCTGGTGCGTGCACGGGAGTCCGGAGGTGGAGGTGGCCCATCTGTAATGCTGTCCTGTGGATGCGCATGAGGTGTGCGCAGTGAACAGTGTTCTCTGTGTGTCCCTGCCCATGTGTCCTCTAGACCAGAAGCCCCAGCACGTGTTGGGGCCCCGGGGCCCTGGGGATGTGTGGTCCTGGCAGAAGCCATTCTTTTCTTACCTCTGAGTATCAGCAGGAGCACAGCCTGGCTATGGAACCCGGAGCACTGAGGGTGGCCACCCTTCAAGGACAGACAGGGCCCCTGGCTGCATTAACAGAGTCATAGCTGGTAGACTGAGGGAGGGGGACCAGGCTTGCCCAGCTCACAGCTGCCATGGAAGGCCCTAGACCAGCTGAGGAACGTGTAGCTTGAGGAATGTGGCCCAAAGAGCATGGACCCGTGGCCGAGCAGTCAGAGGTGCCGAAGAGAACAGAAAAGCATCCAGTGGGACAAAGAGAAGCCATCAGACCGATGGGTCCAGGATAACCCTTGGGCCATGTTTGCCCCAGCGAGTGCCTGGGTGGCGGGGTGCTGGCTGCAGGGCACTGGATGACCTCTGGGAGAAGCCTCCTGGTCATCTTGAACCTCTATGAGCCCATGTGGGTGCTCTGGGGAGGGTGCTGGGCCACCCAACCCTAAGGCCTGACCCTCCTCCCCAGGACAGAGGCCACCCAGCACTGACTAGGCGGAGCTTCCACCTGGCCACTCCCAGCACCCCAGCTCCACTTTCAAGGAGGTGTCGGGGCCACTGGGGCCACCGGTGTCATCTGAAATCCCAGGGAACCCTCCCATTCCTGCAGCCCCACCCCGGGGCCACCAGGCTGTGGGTCCGGTGAGACTACTGATGCTCTGCCAACAACGTGACTGTTTACAACCCCTTCTTGCCTCATCTCTCTGAGCCATGCCTGCCTGGGAGCTGGGGAGGCGGGCAGAGTGGGGAGATGGGCCTGCAGCCTCCCTCCTGCTCACAGGTGGACGTTCCTTTGCCCACCGAGGGCCTTGGCCCTGGCTCGTGCCAGGGGGCATCAAGGACAGCTGGGCTCAGCTTCTGATGGGGAGGGGCAGGGACATTAAGCAGCTGGTCACTGGGCAGAGAGGAGAGCATATGGCCCACACTGGGGGCTGTAAGGGCTCTGGTGGGGCAGCCCAGCCCGGCCTGTGTGTTGTTCAGAGTGCAGCTGGCGCTTGGGGCCGTGTGGCGACGGAGGAAATGGCTCTGTGAGGCTCTGCTCACCGAAGCTGAGTGTGGGGTCCGGGCTGCAGGAGGATACTAGAGGGTCACTCTCTCGAGCTCCTCTTACCTCTGAGAACCTGACCCAGAGAGGGGCTGCCTCTGCCCAGCGTCACACAGCTTAGTTCTGGAGTCCTCGGAGCCCAGAGCTTCAGGGATGTCCCAGGTGTGGCCCAGCACCCAGGACTGCATCTATAGCATCAGCCTTAGGTGACAACACCCCAGGACCCTGACTGGCCCTCACTTGTTCCTTGTTCACCTGCATCCCTCTGGCAAGCTCCAGCTGGACCAGGGCCCTGGGTAGCCACCTTTCTCCTCTGACATTAGGAAAGGGCCCCTGTCCCTAACAGCCCTGACAGCTGTGGTCAGCGGTTGAAGGCCAGCAAGCTAGTGGGCAACCTCCAGTTCCCCAAGGCATCCCTGTGTTTATACCTTGCAAATATTTGACGGCGAGGCTAGAGCCTTGGCTGTGTGCCCTTGGGGAGCTCGCTTAACCTCTCTGAGCCTCACTGGAAAACAGAGATAATCAGCAGGATTATTGGAAGAAAAGTGAGGTAACATTTGCAAACATGCCCCGCTCATTCCAGGTTGCTTCCTGAGCAGAATGCTCAATACCAGGCTGGTGGTGTCCACGCTGGCAGCTGCCAGCTGCATAAGACAGGGTGGGGAGCGGTACACCATGTGGAGGGACCAGATGAGAATGACCTGGGACAAATCCTCAAAATGGAGGGAAATGAGTCTCTTCACACTAACACGTAGAGGACGCCTTCTTGTTCTCTTACTCCTGCTGAGAACTGGCATTTATCGAGTACTTACTATATGCCAGGTGCCGCAGGTGTGCCGGCTCATTTAGTCCTCACAATGACTCCATAAGGTACCCTTGACATCACCATTCCTCTTTTCCAGATGAAGGGGCAGATCCCCAAGGTGACTACTGTGGAACTGGTCTTGGGTCCTAGGTTTAGAGGGCGAGGCGGCTTTGAACCAAAGCCCTCTCCACAGAGCCTGATCTTTCTCCTTCCCTGGGCTACTGTACCTGTTCCCTGTCAGGACACTCAAGTGAGGGCAGCCACTTCAGAGCCATCTCTTCTGCCTGCATCTCCTTCCACGATTCCTGCCAGGAAACCACTTCCAATATGGAGCCATCTTTACTGGTGGCTCTCAAACGTGAGCAGCAGCATCTGCAGAGCTGGTTAAAACACAAGTTGCCAGGTCCTATCAGAGTTTTCTACTCAGTCTTGGTGGGGCCAAGAGTTTCCATTGTGACACCAGGTGATGCTGATGGCCTACAGGCCACACTTTGAGAACAATTGTCTGTATACTAGTGCGGTCCAACAGAAATGTACATGAGCCACATAGATAATTTCAAATTCTCTAGTAGCCCTGTTATAATAGTGAAAATAAACAGGTGATACTCATTTTAATTAACCCAACATATTAAAAAATTATCACTTTAACAGGTAATTTAATATAAAAATATCAATGACTTTTTTTACATTCTCTTTGTATTAAATCAATGTGGTCTGGTGTGCATTTTACACACACAGCACATCTCAATTTGGACTAGCCACGCTTCAAGTGCTTGATGGCCACGTGTCCAGTGGCTACCACACAGGTTTGTAGACCTTCCCAGGGAAGAACTACGTGGTTGGCCACGTGCTTGCTAGCGGCGCCCTCTGCTGGTGACTCGCAGTGCGCAGGGCCTCCAACCCGAGCCGTGGTGTGCTCCCGTCTTATTATTTATTTATTCCCCACTTAATCACAGGAGAGCTGGCAGGATTAGATGAGGTGGCCATGGGGAGGGAACACAGCCAACACGCCCCAGTCAGGGACAGGGATGCTCTGTAGACAGAAATACCAGGTTGAGTCAAGGTCACACTTAGCCAGAGGTCACTCGTGTTGAGCAGTGCACCAGAGAGTGTTCTCGAATGCCCACTCCTCCCATTAGCTCTGGTTGGACAGGCTCAGGTTCACAATTGTACCCCGAGGTTGCTCCAATCCCTCCTCATGTGGGGCCCAGACTGTGGCCAGAGCGGTTCAGAACCTTGCTCTGCCCTCCTTGCCCTCAAAGAACAATTGTTCGGGGTCCTCTCTTCAAATTGCGTCCAACCCCTGGAGCTTTCATAGCCCAGGAGGAGCTGTCTGACCTCCCCATCTTCCTCCGGCTGCTTCTCTACACG